GGGGGCTGTCCTGGTCTGGGGGTGCTGACCAGTTCTGAAGGGGGTGTTCTGACCATGGGAGAGTCTGCCCATCCTTTTGCCCACCTACTGGGGGCCCAGGCTGGGGGGTCTCAGAATGCTATATTGCTTAGGGGTGGGGTTATGAGGTGGGGTTCCAGTGTCCCTGGGCCCTGCCTGTGACCTGGGTGCTGGTTGGGGGCCCAGGCTGGGTCCCCTGTGGGCCTGGACTGACTGGCTCAAACAGGTCAGCAATCCTCTGGGTACAGCCTGTCCCATGCCCCCCGTGGGATAGTTGTGTCATCACTCAGTGGGAAATTGCCTGCATTTGTTGCATTTTTGTGAGGTTCACGGTGCGATACAAAATCACAGGAATCGTAGTCTCCTTTGGGCGGTGGCGCCAGCCGGGCCGAGACTCCTGGCGGTGCTCTGCGCATGGCCTGGTGCGGGGCTGTTTGGGGCCTGGAGCAGGCCCTGCAGGGACTGAGGCCACTGAGCTGGGCACCTGGGCCCTGTGCCGATTGCATTCCTGGCTCAGCCTCGGCCAGATGCCCAGGGGCTGTCTGGAGCCAACAAAAAGTTTCAAAATCAGATCAGAGAAACCAGAGGTTGGGTTTTCAAATAGAAACCAACGTCTTTGTTAAGAACTCCCTGACCTCAAGGTCCTTTCATCAAGAAAACGTGCTTCTCGGGGCCCTGCTGACCTCACTCATTAGCGTACACGTGAGGCTGCCTGGCAGGAACTAGATAGCCAGCTGGTCACCTGTCCCCACCTGGCTCGGGCCTGACCTCAGGGCTCCCAGAGAGGAAACACGGCCCTGGGAGGGGCCTGGGGTGCGGGAGGCAGGCTGGCAGCAGAGGTAGGGTCCTGGGTCCCCCGACCTCAGCCTGGAGCTGACCTGCAGGGCCGGGGCTCCTTTTCCTGGGAGGGTGGGGGAAGCAGGGCTGCCTGGATAGCATGGTGGGGCACAGCTGGTCCCCGACGCGGCATGAGGGTGGGGCTCTTCTGGACCCCGTTGCTGTCAGCACTGTGTGTCTCAGGCTAGCCCTGTTGCAACGAGCCCTCCTGGGCCCTGGGGCCCCCCCCTCCGATGCCCACGACACCCTGGGCAGGCCTGGCTCCCCATGGCAGGGTCTGTGGCCCTGCCCACTGACCCAGCCGGGGTGTGCTGAGCCCCAGCGAGGACGGGGTGACTCTCCAGGGCGGCAGTGTCTGCAGCAAAGGGAG